CATCAGCGCTCATGTATCGCTTCCATGCCTATCAATAAATCTAGCAATATGAGTTTTGCAGTACAGATGGCAAAAAGCAAGCAGTCATAATATCCAATACAGTTCTGAGTGTGGAACAGATGGGGCTGGTTGAGTGGGCCAAGTCATTGATTTGACCTTGAGATGGACAGCTGAAGTGAACTGAAATGGTGGAACTGAGGTTCCAATAATATTGAGTACGAACATAGTAAGATAGATTTACCAATCACAACACAGCCTGTGAAAACTGTTGTGTAATGTCTAAAATTCAGGATGTCTGAAGTTCTGCGGCAACAATTTTGATCTTGCAATAAAACTGTATGCAAGTACAAAACAAAATCCCTGGAATTAGTCTTTAAAAAGATAAATTCAAGAAGTTATGGAAAGGAACAGTAACAACTAAAGGTATAAAAAAAAATCATGAAGGTAAATTACATCTGAGCAGCAAAACAAACAAGAACCATATCCACTGAGATGTTATTCCACTTGATGTGATATAATGGGCATCAATAGGTTATAAATACTTTATCCCTATGTCAATTTAGAGTAAGATTGAAGAGATAAAAACCCAACAACCGCAAACGATTCTTATGATTTTTGCCATAATTTATGGCCTGCAACCATATTAACCGGTTCTATAGGGAAGCAAACAAAAGGCTGGAGGAGGAGAGAGGAGGCAGCACATCATGCTTCCCTCATACCAGCCAGTATTATCCTGTGAGAGAGTGGTATCTCAGTCCCACGATTCTTAGCCTTCAATTCGTCTCCCTAACAGCAGGAGAAACCGTGACTTCGTCAATTGGCCCGCAGACAGGGGGAGGGCATATTGCCACAGACATTAACAAGCGACTTCACCTTTTTACAACCACGGCCCCGTTTAGCTGAAACGCTCCCCAGGGCTATTAGATATTTTCCGATGAATTATATATCAGAGCTGAAGATGAAAGGACTCTGCGTGAGCCAAGAACATAGCTGTGGGACTACAAGGGGACCAGATACCCAAGGCCGGTTAGGCTGTTTGTTTTAGTGGGATCGCTGAGGGAAAATGGGAAAACTCCTCTTACAGTAAAACTCTTTTAGTTCTCTAATGAGTTCAAATCAAATCACAATATTAACTAATTCTTCTCAATTTTTCCTAAATGCGCCTCCATTTGTTTCCTTACTGACTTCAGTGCCTTTATGAAATCACACAATGAGATCATATCCCATAGCCTAAATACTGTAAATAATGTTCTATAGTGCAGAATCCGTGGATGGTCGTATTGATTTTAGTCTTGTCTAAGAACCCAACAGACTCGCAGTCTGTTCATCTGGCATGTGGACTCCTAAGACTCCTAATTAGTTCTCTAACCTGCTGCTTATTCTGGAGAACCAATCAAATCCTTCATTCGGGGCTGCCGAGGCCAAAGTTTTGTCAACATGGAATTAAACCAGTTAAAAAAAAAAAATTAATTTACACTGAGCCGGGACAATTGGGTTCAAGCTGAGTAAAAATTAGCCCTATTGATAATTCGTTTTAGGCTGTTTAATTCCCAAAATGCAACGAGGTACCCCGTAACAGAGTATTTGATAAATTACACATCATTTTTAGGCTGCTGTTTTTTTCTGCTTTAAATTAAGAAAAGGAAAGGTCCAGAGAAGAGGTGGTGGTGGGTGTGTGCGGCTTCCCGGGCCACCCTTTAAATCTCCTCTATAGGGTTACACAGAATAAAACCATGACAGATCCCCAACAAGTTATTTTCACTTCTCTACAAAACAGCTGGGGTTTCCCTTGCTCAGCTCATTTAGACAATTAAGGCCTCAAGCTGCAGCTTTAATCTTCTGTTTCTTATTGTGAACCTATATGTCAAACTCATTTGTCACTGAGCTCCGTGCTCTGATTGGCTGGTCAACACCTATAACGGCATTTCTAGACCTGAGAATAAAATGTTGAGGTAATTGCTGCAGAGAATAATATGCTATAATGTGCTCTTTGTTTTTAAATGCTAAAGAAATATATAGTCAGCGGTGCTTTGGAGGTGATGTTGGTCACCATCAGGCCACTTCACTCCAGCTGCTGCATCCTTTCACACCTCTGCTCATCATATTTCCTCTCATTTCCATTGGCTGCAAAAAATAAAAAATCCACACAGTCTCTCCCCCCTCTCTCTCCCTCTCTCTCTCTCTCTCTCCATAAATACTGAGCATCTCTTAGTATTATCCGCATCCAACAAGCTTACCCGGGAGGAAACTAATCAAAGCCACTTAGAACCACTCTGCACAGCCGAGAGGGCCGTTTAGAGAAAGACCTGTTAAAAAAACAACTGAAGTAAGTCATTTATTTTTAACGTTCATATTTTGTCGTGTCAGTGTATGTAAGCAATACTCGTGGTTATGAGTTGCAAATAAATGAAAATGAGATGAGAAGTAGTCATTCGGCCACCAGGAGCTGACTGCGGTGTAAATGCAAATAGCCTACAGGGAGGTAATTGGGGAGGCGTGCTGTAAAACTTTTCTCCCTCTCGCCTCTGTGGGCTGCAGGCTCGGAGCAAAGGGGCATTCAACCGATTAATAGCAGGACGGTGGAGGAGTCCACAACTTCAGATAATACAGTCCAACTGCTGGATGTTTGACTATAGACTCTGGATGTATGCAGGCTTGTAAGGGAGGGTAAACACACCTCAAGTCAAGTTCAAATGTATTTGATGTTAAATCACATGCGGTATTAAATTCATAGTGAAGAATCCACTTTATCATCAAACTGGGTAGTGGAAAGTCTTTAAACGGAAAAAAAAGTATTTTATGGTGTTATTTTAGAAAATAAAGCTCAATATTAATTGTGCAAATTTGCATAATAACTTGTATTTTTATTTATTGCTGAATTTGGAACGCAGAAAATATCGAAATATGTATCCTACATTACACAATTAATGACAATTGTTCACACAATGCAATGCAAACATACAGGAGGTCCCAATAGGCTAATAATATTAATAATGATAATAATAATAACAGTTTTAAAGGGCCACATGAACGTGCATGTGTCAGTTTAGGAAAGTGAGTTGTAGGGTTGGTTGTGCTGGGGTTGGGGGGGTTGATGAGGGAGTGAGGGGTTGATGGGGGGGTTGGTTGTCTGGCAGTCAGCTGGTCTGATAAATACAATGCCAGTCTTTGTTTTATTTTCGTGACGCAGAAAATTAAGGAGGCCTGAATGCGGAGTCGGCTGGCGTCCTGTAATCAGGCCAGCGCGTGCCGTCCGGATTATCTCGTTAATTTCTTACAGAAAGAAGAAGAAGAAAAAAAAAACTCTTGTATCCAATAATAATTAATGGCTGGGCAGGGTATTTATTATTGAACGGATGTGGAGCAACCGGTAGCCGGGGGTGCAAAAAAAGTGACAGATTGAGTATAGGAGTGGCCGTTATTGGCTCTTTAAAAACGAGGGGTAAGGTCTACAGAGAGGAGCACTCTAGGGTCCTGGGAACTTTATTCTACAGGTAGGTGTCACTGGACGCTACGAGAGGCCTCAGACAGCAACATATGGTGTTTAGACTAATTAGCTATTACAAAAAAAAAGAGAAGGAAATATTAAGGCATATAAAACACTGGAATTTTGTGTGTTTTAAGATTAGTATATGTGTTCAATATATTTTCTTTAACAAGGGCTTCATCCTCTACAGAAACAAAAATATAACAGATTTAATATAGCATTTTAATTCCTTAGTTGCTTTTGTAATTATATTATATTATATTATATTATATTATATTATATTATATTATATTATTCATGCATATGTCATCTGCAATGATGAACCTATAATATTTCTATAAGAACACAATATTGTTGTATATCTCTGTAAATGCATTTAGGATACATTTTTTGTCACTGTAAAAGTTTTAATAATTTGTCTGAACTGTCGCTCAAGATGTTTATAGACCTCGTTTAGATAAAGTGGCCATTTTACCATCAGGGCAACATTTCAAAGTAAAATATGAGACTGAGATTAACGGTTTTCCTGTAAAACTTTTTCCCTGCACAATACCTTAAGATACATTTAGTGGGCCATCTCCTTGTTTGTTTAGATTAAGATTAACTGCTCCTCTCTAATCAACACTTTTCGATAGTCTCACCTTCCAAATCTAATTATCGGGAGCAATTCATTAGGCAAGGAGGGGGACTCGCCCTGAGGAGTGTCAATAATGTGTCAGAATTCACTTTGGGGGAATGCCTCCATGTTTCTAATTATTTGCTAAAGTTTTCCTTCGTATTTTAATGCGGTGACATTTGAATGTACAAGGGTTTTAGAGGAAACAAACAATGGGACCGAGATATAGAAATGAAGATGCCCAGTTGTATTTGAATGAGCGCACAGTTTGCAGTATTGGCTTCTTTGTTTGTTCCCTAAAGTCTTTTGTTATCAGCATTACTTATCGGTCCACAGTGGGCTTTGTTTCTGCAAATGGCCCCCCAATCAGCTGTCTATTTAGCTTTGCCTAACCTGTGGGTATATGCTAATTGAGATCCCGGTTGGGGCCCAACGAGTGTGTGCATTTTAACGACAATGTTTTGTTTTGGTGGTACTAGGAGAGGAGTGTGTTTGGGGAAGAGGGGGGTGATAAAGGGCGGGGTTATAGTAGCAGTTTGTGTGTGTGTGTGTGCGGTGGGGAGGGGGTGTGATGGCGTAAACGCCTGTCAGCCAGACAGAGCATCCTCAGTCCAGCAGGGACAGCTGGGGGTCTCCACTCGCCTTTAAGAGCCCTGCGAGTCCGAGGACGCTCACTTCTTTAAACCCACCGCGGTGCGTAAAGGCTGTGCGTAAAAATCAGCGGACACAGTCGGTTCGAAACGACCTTAAAACCTTCCTGTTTGTGTGTGTGTCCTGCATCAGGTTGATCCAGACGAGGAGAAATAGCAAACGGAGACGCGAGAGGATTAAAAGACAATTTTCTGCCCTATTTTTTCGTACTTCTTCTGTTTGGTGCCCCCTCGCCCGGCCGCCAGCATGATGTCCTATTTGAAGCAGCCGCCGTACACGGTGAACGGTCTGAGCTTATCTACCTCAGGAGTGGACCTGCTGCATCCTTCAGTGGGATACCAAGGTAATATAGCCCACCCCAGGGTGCAACTATGTAGAGAGGCAAAAAGGCTGTTCGGATGCTTTATGTGTATTTGCAACTTTTCATATTTCCATTAACAACTGAATGATGTGTATTTGTATTTATTATAACATCATACAACAGAGTATTGAGACACAGCCAAGGCCTCATTAGATCAATTAAAGCCTCTATTTTAATTATCAAACATGATTATCCTCTATAAACTAGGCTCACTTATTTGAGATTATATTTGAAAGTTAGCTAATTAAGTTACAGAAGTTAAACATCAAGCTGTATTATTTCGTTTTTTTTCTTTCCATAAACATTGTTTTTTCCCCCTCTTCTCACCAGGTGCCCCTCGCAAACAGAGGAGAGAGAGGACGACCTTCACTCGGGCCCAGCTCGACGTGCTGGAGAACCTATTCGGCAAGACTCGGTATCCTGACATCTTCATGAGAGAAGAGGTGGCCTTAAAGATCAACCTGCCCGAATCCCGAGTGCAGGTGAGTCTCCAGCACCAAAACCTCAACTACACACTTCATTCATGTAAGGTTGATAATTAGTCATTGTCTCTGAGAGGCGAGACACTCCACTTCAGGGCTAAGTGTTCTCTTTATTGTAGGAGAAGTGCTTTATACCAGTCACCTCTTGAAACTCCGATATTAAGTCATAAACTCGCATTATAAATAACACACCTTCAGAGTAAAGTTTATACATAGTTTGTATAAATGTAAAGCTTGTAAGACAATATTAGAAAATCATGAATATAATGGATATAGTCCTACATTATTCTCTGAGATCATTGGAATATTTAACTTAGCCCACATTTTTCAATGACTATTAAGAATAAATTGTAGGGTATGTGGTGTATAAATATACATATAAAAATAAAAAAAAAATAAAAAAAATCCAATGTCATGTGCTAAATTAACTTAATTTAAATGCATTTTTCTTCCAGGTATGGTTCAAAAACCGACGCGCCAAGCATCGCCAGCAGGCCCAGCAAACCCAAAGTGGAGTGCAGAACAAGGCTGTCAGCAAGCCGGTGAAAAAGAAAGGCTCTCCGATCCGAGAGGCCAGCTCAGAGAGCGGTGCCAGCGGCCAGTTCACGCCGCCCTCCAGCACCACACTCCCGGCTGTGAGCAGCAGCGCGGCGCCGGTGTCTATCTGGAGCCCGGCCTCCATCTCCCCTCTCTCCGACCCGCTGTCTACCTCCTCCTCCTCCTGCATGCAGCGCTCTTACCCCATGACATACACCCAGGCGTCGGGCTACAACCAGGGCTACACGGGCTCCTCGTCCTACTTCACCGGGATGGACTGCGGCTCCTACCTTTCTCCTATGCACCACCAGCTATCCGCCGCGGGCTCCGCCATGAGCCCCATGGGCAGCAACGGCGTCTCCAGCCACCTGAGCTCCGCGTCTTCCCTCTCCTCGTCGGCGTACGGGACGGCGGGGCTGGGCTTCAGCGGAGCCGCGGACTGCCTGGACTATAAGGACCAAACAGCCTCCTCATGGAAGCTCAATTTCAATGCGGACTGTTTGGATTATAAAGACCAAGCAGCGTGGAAATTTCAAGTGTTGTGAGAGGAGAGAAGTAAAGGGACAATTTTGACAAACTGCAGACTGAACAGGCAAATTAAAAACCCAAGGCTGGGAGCAGCCAGTGCGGCGTTTTTTCTACATATAACAGGCCCCAACTTCTACCTCGGGCAGAGCAGAACAGGGCTGCCAGCCGGTTGTCTCACACGTTGGGTTAATTTATTGAACATTCAGACTGACTTCTCCCCACTTTGATCAAGGACACGGAACAAATGTGTTGACCAAAAGGAAAGAAAAAAGGTCAAAAGAGTGAAAGATCCAAGCCTAACTTGGTTGAGTTTGAGGAATAGGTCAGGTTTTCTTCTAAGCTCCTTAAAGACTCCCCTCTCTTGTCTTTTTTTAATTGTGTTGGCACGCTGAAGGGCCCCTTTGATCAAAGCATTGTGTGTGTGTGTGTGTGGTGTGGAGAGAGAGAGAGAGAGAGAGAGGAGTGTGTGTGTTGTTTGAGAGAAAGTAGCCAGCTCTGACATGAACCTGGATGCACTATTAATTTATGACAAATATGTTTAAGACTAGTTATAAGAGACAATCAGTCCGCGTGTGCTCATAAATGTCCCTTATGTGTTTTGGAATTATTTCCCTCTGTGTTAGATTTCTTTTTTAAATTGTGATTCTTTGTACCACCTGTATGCAATTTTTCTTTGCGCCTTACATGCGCCAAAAAACCCAGCTGTGAATTTTAATAGATTTATTTCCATGTCTCCAGTGTTAATGGTAAATTATTATAAGGACATATTAGTTGAATGAAATAGGGATTGAAATCAAGCCAGCAGCGAGCAAGGTCCATTTGAGCTGTAAAGTGCGGTGAGAAGGCCACAAACACACTAAATAACAATAAAGTTCACTTGACCTGACCCAATACTGTGGCTGCATGTGTAAATCCTTCTCGTTTATCCTCTGTGTTTTTATCACCTGCCCCTGCACACAAACACACCACGTGGTCAACAGGCCAATCGATCTCAATTACCAATATGTTTATTTAAGGTTTACACTTTTTGGTTTGAAATAAATCTACATTAAAAGTGCCAGTAGTGCATCCACTTTTTTCTATTTCTACTCGTACAGCACTGCATGACTCCTGCCCAGGCTGGGAGGAATGTGAATTATGGGAGAGCTATGTTAATCCCGTCTCATAAAGAGGATAATCCAACATTTTTATTGACGGCTGCTCTTTGGTCCGGGGCGCACCGTTGGCCAGTTCACACGGAGAACTGTGAAATGAGCTCTGCTGCTCAAGAGTCCAGAGGCAAACATTGGTTTAAAGACGGGTTATACGCAAAAGAAACAGGCAGACAGGGAAGTGGACGTTGAGACTTTAACTTTGTGATCCCAGAGGTGGGTAAACTATAAAATATAAAAAAACAAAACATCACCAAGTGGTCAGTTAGGGGAAGAAGATATTACAGCAGATACATCGAATTGCACCATGGATATAGATTATGTGGCCAATGTCAATATTCAGTTGTCTTTTGGTCCACAGATGATGAAGGAGGCTTTTTATTCCCTGTAATACAACAGTCTCCATCAGAATCAGTGTATGCAGGCATATGTTGCAGGCATTGTGATTAGTCTTATACTGCACGTATGGATAAAACCCATGCATCCTCTGTGGGGTTTTAAAGAGAGAGAGAGTATGAGCAGGACCAGGGGCTTGTGCATGGATTAAAGAAGAAGTGGCTCGTGCTATCGGTCTAATTAGGATGTGACAGGAGATGATGAGGCTTCCTATAACTCTGGCGTGACTTTCTGCTGCCGTTCAAGCGCTTTGTTGCCCGTTTGACCCCCAATTAGCGGCGAATGACACACACAATTACAGAGCCACAAACAGCCGACTGTTGTCCCGGGTGCACCCGTGATACAGTGAGCCTGTTAGATGTTTTTATTTTAAGGGATAGCACTGGATAATATGCTTTTAATCGATTCAATGTGCGTGGAGCAGGCACACACCTTAACGTGTATCCGATCATGTTAACAATGGCAACCTAAAATGATCTCAAATTAAAGATTAATTAAGGAAAAATATATAATAAATAATTAAATAAGACACATAAAAATAATACGAGTGATGAAGAACATAATAATTCCTATTCAAAAATAAATGATATAATCTGAGCTTTAATTGCTATAATTGATGGGGGAAATCCTTCATTTCCATCCAGTGGTTCTATGAATAAAACAGACAAAACAATGTGTCAGTAAAGATTAGACATTTACATTTGATTCTTTACAAGCTCTGTGATGAAAAATCACAATCAAATAAAAACCGTCAATAAACTGATAGTTTGTCCTATAGGTTATATTTTTGGTCCCTGTTACGGTAGTCTCCTAAATATTTTCTTTCCTGACCCCGGAGTCATATTCAATTTTCAGCAGGTTCAATAATAAATGTCAGCAGAGAGCAGTAAGTCAGTCCTCCTGTACTTGGAGGACCAGGGGCCCCCGAGTATCCATTCGGTTTTAATTAAGCACAAGCGGCACTAACGGGGACATATGGGTCCGGCAGACGCGCTTCATTAATCCTCTCTTCGCATTTGAGGATGTTAAACAATAATAAAGAGCCTCGGAAGCCTCTTCTTGGCCGAGGCCACCGCACAGTTTGTCGACCGTCGCCCTGAGGCAAGGCTTTCCCCAAGCGGCAGCACTTCACCGCGGCCAGGGATTTCCAGGTTTCCCCGCCGGCGGAGGAGATCCGACCGGCGCAGGAGGGGCGTCTCGATCCGGGTCCACAGCGGCACTGAGCCCAAATACTCATTACTGTGACACTTTACTCCTGTTCTACAATGAGGTGATAATATTTACCTAAAATACTTAAAATAGTTTTTTTTTATTTAGCCTCCCATTTAGGCTTTTAATCTTTTCACTGCAATTCCCCAGTGATCATAATAAAGTACAAACAACAGGATTTTAATAGACTGATAAAGATTAGTAACTGTATTTGGCAGTACCATCTATTGCCAAAGATATAGGAATAGACCTATGTCTCTTTATATATCTGTAATAATAATAATAATAATAATAATAATAATTATCTGGAAATATTCTAGCTCTCAATAGTCCATATTTTATTTTATTGCTCTTTTTTAGGCCCAAACTCACTATAACATCACTTAATGTGTCTGTCAAATTAGCAATTGAATAAAATCACATCAGCCTTTTTAAAACCACAGGCATGTCTGAAACACCTAAATCCAACTACATCCATATTAGTAATGGCTGATTTAGATGTGAACATCATTCAGATTGGCTTGTATCAACTTTGAAAAACCATATCATGCATCCTGTTATTGTATTCAGCTTATGGACGGTGGTTGCTGTTTGAGGCAGACCAATACAACAGGCCTGGGAGTAAACCAATATGTCAATTATTGTCTGGAGGGAGGAAAGGCTTGACATGAAACATCAAGAAATGTTTGTGATGAACAATTCATGATTTAAACAAGCCTATCAGAGTTCATTTAAATAGGCTAATGCTATTATCAGCTGTACAATGTCACTGACAGGCATATGACTTCGTTTTTTTTAAGAAGAAAGAATTAGTGAAAGTAGTGTGGCAACAGGGCAACAGCTGAATACAGCAACTGCCATTTGGTAAAGTGGGATATGGACCTGATTTTTCCGGACAGCAGTTGCCTAAAATAAGCGCAAGATGAACTGAATATAGTTTCTTTTATGAAGAAAAGAACCTGGGTGATAAACGGCCAATTTGTTGGTGAGAATATAACTGAAGACTATTGTTATGCATAAGTATGTGTCCTACATTCCCCGAGAGACGATGTCTATCACATATCAACACAGCAACACATACATAATTCATCTGCAACAACAACAGTCGTGGAATCTCATTTAAATGAATAAAACAATAGTGTTTCTGTACTCCTGTCAGACTGGCGGTTGAGCAATATGGTAAATGGTTAAGAGTACACAGCCTTAACTCTTCATGACCCTCTCTATCTGTTAAGCCATGTAATGTTTAGAGTCATTTCATCTCATGGATTACACAATTTGATGAGATTAAACTCAATTCTATCAGATGCACACGCTAAATGTTGCCATGTGATGTTTTAATGAGACTTAAAGCAACGCAAAATGTTCTTTAAATTGCTCCAAACACTCAACTAGGGGTTAACTTAAAAGTAGGTACAGCTGCACTCATGTTAATTTTCTAGGCTTTCAGTTACAGCTCCCGTTTAATGGTGTAAATGCACATTCAAATTTAACAGAAGGGAACCTGGTATATCTGGTCTTTCTGTTTTTGTGTGAGCAAATGCACCAAACTGACCAGAAGCATTTTTTGTTTATAAACTGAACCTGATTTGACATGTAGGCTATTTACAGTGCTATAGCTCGTAAATTGAGTTGTCCCAGACGAATTCCAGGGATGCCACAGGGTTGTTGATGAAGGCAGCACTTGCTCAAAGATGACTTAATAGGTTCTAATGCAAAACATTGTTCGCACATTTGGAAATTTCTTGAAATAGCTTGAATTAGCATGCAAAAATGAAGCAGAGCTCTCGAAAGGTGTTTCTGGAGCTGTTGTAACTGTAAATGTTGCTGTTTTTTGCGGTTGTGGTGGAAGAAGTATTTATCCTGTACTTAAAAAAGTACAAGTAATGTACATAAAAGTACTGGCCCCCGCTGAGGGGTCAGAAGACAAATCTGAGGGGGAGATGTGATGTGATTACTCATTTTAATGATCAGTATTATACATTTTTATTATGTTTTTTGAAGAGGCCATTGCATGTCCATAGTGTCATCAAACAGATCACAAGTTATACCATAGGAAGTCAAAGTTTTCCTTGTATAACAAAGCTATATGAAATTGTTAATCACGATTAGATATAAAACAGTCACAACATGACTCTACCACTGAATGTGCCAGATTTTGTCAGGTGCCTGTGGAGAGTTTGGTGTTATTGTGAATAAATGTAGGAGGGAGTGTGGCATGTTTATTACAAGGTTTGTTTGGCTCTTTTTCAATTTACGAT